ACTAAAGTACAAAGCAGTGAAAATCATTAACAGGCAATCGTTCGATGGGCTGAATTGCACAAAACGTATGATCGCACCGACTAGTCTGGTGCGCGTTGCCATTTATTCTTCGTGTTTTGAGATCGGCAGAGCCAATCATTCGTGTAGTGTTGGCCAATTGCTTTGCAAAATTCAAAAGGTACGAAATGTTACCTTGTAATTCATTCTCAAAAGCAACACATTCATCGATGAGATGAGAGAACAGCTCAACATTGTTTATCACTTTATTCGCTGTGCTCCGCACCTTCTTTCTAGTTAGCCACAGCAATTTTTCAACATACAAATTCAGCATTTCTGTTTGCTCATCCTAAAATCTGATGATAAGCAGCACTGCACGAAAAATACACACATGAAAACAGCTTACATGCAACTGGGCTTAATTATCCCTACTCCTCGCTTTCCATAGCTCTTTTAGTTTCTGGCATTTAATTATGGCAAAGACTGATGGAGGAAAAAAAACCATGGGCACTGACCGAACTAGAAAATTGACTGCTAGAAAGCTGAAGCGAGTGCTGAAGTAGTAGAAGTAGGAGAGCTGAAGCAGTATAAAATCCAACTGGAAGCAAAAAATCCGACAAAAACAGCGATACAGAAAGAACCTTCGGTATATCTTTTTGTGACAACAGAAGAAAACAGATTCCTTTAAAAAATCGAGCGCAGGATATCAGTGGTGCAATCACACGTGGAAGCAGAGCCCGATGGACAGGGCACGCTGCTCACGTTGTCGACAATTACTGACCGTAATGCACTGGGGAATGGTACTTATGAGAAAGTAAGTTCTCAAGAAAGTAAGTTCTCATGGCGCACATACATCGAACAGGCGGTGGGTGCTAACTGGAGGAATACAGAGAAGGAACCAACGATCTGTCTTAGCCGGAAATATATTTGTAACACACAAACATAGTATGCCTATATTGACTATCCGAGCATTCTTGACATCTTTGATAACTACCACTAAATTATTAGTCTTAAAAATATTCTCTTTTCCTACACAAGAGAACTGTAATTTTAAAATGATTATGTAAGAAATCCAATGGGCAGAACACGTTTTTAGTTTATAATCTCTTTTAATTTCACGCCACTGCTTATCAGATCTCCTGATCTCCAATCCAAACAGTTAAGTTCACAACCGGGAGAAAAAAATCTTCCCAGTTGCGACGATTGAAAATGTGCATAACAACAAAAAGTTCATCTTCGCTGCACTAAAATAAGAGAAAAATGAGAATTTCCTCAATATCTACCTTATGCCAGAAAATCTGTCGCCAAAGCGCACTGATAAAATCAATATTTGCATTGATCCAGTTCAGAATTTGTGTGAAAAACCATTCCGGCTTCGACGGGTCG